AGTCATTAAGGACATAGACTTTCAATTTTCATGATGATTTATGAACTTGATCTGGTATATTTTTAAGGAAGGCAAGCTAAGACTAAGCCCATAGAGTATGGCTTAGCTGCTTATGTTCAACAATGTGCTAATGATTTCAATTTCGTCTTACCGAAATGAGTTCAACCGTGTGGTGTATTTGCATTGCTAGTACAAAGAAAACAAAACGACTGGGGGGAAAGAACAGTCAAGCTCACTTAAGCAAAAGAAAAGAAGCAAATGCCTACATTTCATGTTGGAAGAACCACCTAAAAAATCATTCTTTCATTCAATTTGACCCATTTAAAATACGTTCATCTCCTTTCAGCTGGATGAAGAAATTGAAAAGTGATGCAAAAAAAAAGAAAGAAAGGAAAAACAGCGAATGTCTTCAGATGAAAAGAAGACAAACAGAGCTTTGTGATATACGTGACAAACACTCTCGCGCACACTCCTCACGGAGCGATTTTGTGGACAGATTTCCTTTCATCTCTCTGAAGACAACTCCTCTGACAGAAGCAGAGACTGCTGCCAGCCTGACTGCCATCACTTCCATTCAGTACAAAGATCCTGTCACGAAGACTCGCTCCGACGCAGTGGCAGACCGACTATATCAAAGCTTTTCCACCTCTAAGAGAGCAGAATTCATTAAGTTATCAATACCACCAAATACATAATGGATTTGTAATTGGGATTTTCTAATATGCATTCATTGAAGTACACTTTCATCAAGTAAATACAAAAAAGAAACACCCTCCGGCACGGCAAGGAAAGGTAGCCGGTTTTAAATGCATCAAAAAAATTGTAATGTCAATTTGGATCTGTTCCACCTCGGTTATGACCTCCACTGTTTCCAAAAATCGAATCATAATTTTGTTATTTAATTTATATTCAAGTTAATTATAAATGGTACAAATACTATAAAAAATACAAAAACAAAGTATGGTTTTGTAATTGTGTAAATCGTCCATACAATATTTACATCTGACACTTCCACAGTACTTCTTTGTAAGAAAATGCTGACACTTTCATAATTAACAGAAAAAGAAGCTAATGCTAATTCTTTAGTTCAAGATGTTAGCGCTCTAAAAACTTTTTATTACAGCATAGTCAAAATCCTCTCTGGAGTTATGCACACGGGCGCATAAACAACTGTGTGACTAGCGTAAGCATTTAACTTTCTCGTTAGCAATCTCCCCCGTGTGGCGCTTTAGCCATGCTGGCTTGTTTATTATGTTCATAGCTTTGGCAGAAAAAGAGATTTAAGTGAACTCCTACAAATCGGAAGCACTTGTAAATGCATAGAAACACACTCAGCTGTAGAAACAGGGGAATTAGGGGCTTACCAAATGCTAATGCTAATACAAAGCAATTTTCAACCTGATGCTGATACACAGAATTACATTTTTTTTTTTTGTAGTAAGCAATAAAATGTGCTCGGAAGAGCTATTACATGGACCCTAATCCACCTCTGCGCCCTAACATGCATCAATATACAACTCTTCATTTGGTGTTACCTCAGAATTTCAATCTTTGTGGTTGCCGTAAAACGAGAGGATGAGGCAAATAAAGTAAATAATCAAGTGTATGATCTTCAGAGGCATTCCAATTTAGCCCTTGGCAGGCGCCACACAGCATGCAAATATTATATTTTCCCCTGCTGTTTAGCTCTCTGAAAAAGTACTCAGAGTTTAAGTGGATATACACTTACTTTAACGTATGTTAGTGTGGTTGAGTGGGGATAAGATTACACCAGGCATCCATACAGAAGTAAACATGCATTTCTGTTGGAAAGTGGACTGAATTGAATGTATAGGAAAGTCATTTTGCGTTATACCAAAGTGCATGATGAAATTTAAAAGTTTGAAAGTGTGTGAAATGATCTAAATCCGAAATCCAACAATGTATGTAATACATCATTATCATTTGCACCTCAAACTGGTTTTTAAACACTGACATATGCAAATCCTGTGCAAAAACGTAAAGTATGATGTTTATCTTGGGTGGTCAGTTGCTAAAAGGGAGAGAAAAAAAGGGAGATAAACCTTACAACCTGCGCAGATAACCAATGAAATAACCAAACCCTAAACACATCAGTTCACTCAAAAATTCAAATTTATGTCATTAATAACTCACCCTCATGTCATTCCAAACTTGTTAAACTTGTGATCATCTTCGTAACACAAATGAAGATATATTTGAATGAAATCGGATAGTTTTTTTTCCCTCCATATACAGCTGCTTAACTACCACTTCAACACTTCAGAAAGTTCATAAAGAGATTGTAAAATGAGATCCATATGAATTGAGTCTTTTTCTGAAGAGACTCGATCGCTTTATATGATGAACAGGCAGAATTTAGGATTTTATTCACATATAAATTAAAATCTAAAATATAAATTAAAATTAAAAATTCAATCTGTTCATCATATAAAGGGATCGAGTCTCTTAAGAAAATTTGGACTAAACCTCTGAATTTATATGGATTATTTTTACGATCTCTTTATTCATTTTTAATCAATGTATTAAAGTAATTAATGCCATTTTTTTTATTTTTGGGTGAACTAACTCCTTAAGAAAACTCACTGGGTTTAAGAAAAATCACTGGGCGGGTAAGTAAGTAAGTAAATAAATAAATGCTATATTAATAGTAATTAGTATTACTAGTGCTGTTTTCAGGAAAAAAATTCTAAACTTGATGGAGCCAATTGCATTGCGGACAGTGCTTTACATAAACAATTAAAACCAGGGATGCAATGCATATCAAAAGAAAGACAACTTTTTCTTTGATAATGTTGGGCATTTAGTTTATGCATAAATCTACAAAAAAAGTTTGTGTCAGACTTACAACTATGAAAAAAATGCCAATAGAATAATTTTCACTGAAAACAAATCTTATCTTTGATATAATTCTACATGTAATGTATAGTACATGTAAATTTGTTTTAAGAATATTTAGATATTCTTGCTGAAAAACAAGACAAAGATACTGATTACAATATGATTTTTAGGGTGTTTGTGTTGTGTGATGTCAAGAGAGGGAGATCAACAGACAAACGATGTACTGTATATATGTGTATATTGTGAGAAAAATAGAAAGAACATCATGCAAAATAACAAAAGAGAAATCAAACACGTAGTGAACAAGGTTTGCGTATTTGGGTGTGTGTGAATGTGTCTGTATGCATGAGCTCATGGGAAAGGATGGGAAGTCCCTTCCTTGTCCACCATACTGTCAGAGACAGAACATAGACCCACAAATACAGTCCTCCTCCTCCTGCCTTAATACATGAACACCCCTACTTCACTTCTATGGTTTGCTCTGGTCTCCATGTCAGCTGATTAGGGCTGTTCCATTCTGAATCATTTTTCAAAGTGTCCTTTGTCATAGTACCTGGATAACTCAAAGTCCTATTAATTACTGACAATGACCATTTAAAATATGTTGACTCAGCAAGTTGACAGGGATTAATAAAAGCCATTCCTGTCTCAAAAAGAGAAACAAGAAACAAAGGGAATAAAAGACCTGTGCAGTAGGGCAAATAAATGTTTAGCGGTAAACTTTGACAAAAATAGACAACCTCTTTTTCTCTCAACCTTGAGAAAAGTACACAAAAATAAGAGCAGCAACAAATCAGGTGATTCATTAATAATAAGAATAATTTGTTGTTACTTTTCTTGCCACTCAAAGCGCTTTGCAAGCGCTTCGCTTTTGCATCTCCTCAACCACCACCGATGGTGGCATTCACCTGGATGATGCGACGGCAGCCATATTGTGCCAGAATGTCCACCACACACCAGCTTTATTGGTGGAGAGGAGACAGAGTGATGCGAAGCCAATCAGTATATATGAGGATTATTAGGAAGCATGATGGGCAAATTCAGCCTGGATGCAGGGGTTAAATCCCTACTCTTTTGTTGAAGGACATCCTGGGATTTTTAATGACCACAGAGAGTCAGGACCATGTTTTAACATCTCAAACGAAGGATGGTGCTTTTTGACAGTTAAGTGTTCCCATCAATATTAGTGGTGTCAGTTAAACGCATTATTAACGGTGTTAACGGAAACCCATTTTAACGGCGTCAATTTTTTAATCGCAAAATTAACGTTCTTTTTGGACTTAAAAACTTTGCAGTTTTTTTCCACATGCTATTACGACAACTAGAAATGTTAGAAAAACTACAACAACACACCAGACCTAGCTTGACCAGAAACAAATAAACAGGCACACCGCACACACTTGTTTGGGCTTTTGAGCCAGCCAAATATTAGGGCAACGTTACGTTTTGAGTGGATGGCGAGCGCAAGATGCCGAAATGGATGCCAATAAGATTCTAAATGGAAAGTTTACTTTTAAAAAGTTGCCAAATGTTTCCATTGAATTCGCGTCAAACACGTTAATGCACCAAATAAAATCATTAGCGCGTATCACGCCAGAGGCTCAATTCGCGACATTCTTTCGAACTGGACACGCGAATGAGGCGAATTCACATCGTGCAGCACTGTTAATGTGTCTTTAAATTGAAATCACTCGTGCCAGACACTCTATTCGCGAGTTAACTATGACATTAATGTGATTAATCGCGATTAAACATTTTAATCGTTTGACAGCACTAAGGGTGTAAGGACCCACACAGACCACAGGGTGAGCACCCTCTGCTGGCCTCACTAAGACCTCTTCCAGCAGCAACCTGGCTTTCCCAGGAGGTCTCCCATGCAGGTACTAACCAGGCTCAATCCTGTTTAGCTTATGGTTATATATATATATATATATATATATATATATATATAGCTATAGCTATATATATATATAGCTGCTTAGCTATATACTGTAGGTTATATGGCTGCTGACAAAAAGAAATAGAATAGATATAGAAACCTGGCACTAGTCCTGCCCTTTCTAGTCAGTCAACAATGCACACGCGCACACACACACACACACACAGCTCCATTGGAGTCTAATAACTAATCACTTGTTTACCTTCTCCAAGGACTTGCTTATTTGCGTCCGTCTTCAGTTCCAGCGCTGCGTTTATCCTCCCTGCCCTGCAGAGACACCAAACACACAGAAAAAGCTGTAGCTGTAAAATTACTGCTGCAGTCACAAACCATCAGTCATCTCGATGCATAAAAAATGACATTAAAATAAGCTATAGTTGTAATAAACCAATGAGAACTCAACCGTGGACATATAGAAGTACATCATCTACTAAGCAAAACTTGAGAGAAGCAGAAAACAATCACTTATATCCACAGCATTACTGAACCAAATATCAAAAATAACTTCAGGGCAGTTTTCCCCCATGGTATCGATGTCAAAATTGTGGCCAGTGAAAATGCTAGTTACTATTTACTTTAAAAAACCACTAGCCACAGTGGCTGATGAGCCAAAAAGTTAATGTCAAGCCTTAGTTGTACTATAGTCTCTACGCTACACCTGTTGGAAAAAAAAAAAAAAAAAAAGAATTAGGTACCAAAACAGGTAACAAAACATCCCAGAATAATATCCTATTTTGTGGGCAAACTCCATCATACAAAAGTTTTGGGTCAGTAAGTCCTTATGATCACCAGTGCAACGTTTATTTGATTGAAAATCCAGTAAAAAAAACAAGTAAAAGTAATAATGTGAAATATTATTACAATTTAAAATATATGCTTTTTTATTTGAACATATTTTGAATTTTTAATTCAAAGGAACATTACCATCTGATAGCCATCACTATATAACTTTTTATAGGGCACCTCCTTCCCAAAAGCCGAAAAGGCAAACAGTTCACAAGCGTGCGTTTACAGCCTCGACTCAAGTATCCTCTAAGAGCATATTCTCATACTACACTACCGAGAAAGATATACTGTAGGTCAACATCCCTTGGGCATTTGAATAAAAGCATGAAAGCTTAGCCGAAAAAATATGCAGTTTACATTTGCCAGTCAAAACAGTGGCTGGCCGTTTGAACAGAGTGATTCTGTTTATCTCAGGTAAAGTGAGCGCAGATAAAACACATTGGTAAAGCATGTCCATGTCTCTGCATCAATTATCTGTTAAACACCCTTGTTAAGGTGGGTGGTCAGCATTTACTAAAAGCACCAGTCACCACCAGGACCATATGGGTTTTCCGCATATCTTGTGCCGATTTCATTTTCGAATTCTAATTCATTAGACTTCAATTAACATGTCATCCCTGCTGTTATGAATCAATAGCTCGTGGTGACAAGTGATGAATTTTTCAGCTTAAAAAGCTAAACATCATTTATTCAAATCACCTGCTAAGGTCTCAGGTGCTAAATGAGTTTACTGAAATGCCTAACGCTCATTTAGACAAATGTTCTCTCATTCTAATGATGAGAACGTTTTGCATTAAGAACGGGAGGAGGGGGGCGGGGTGAGAAGAGAGATGCGCAACAGCAGTTACCTTTTAGTTTTTAGCACCGTAATGTGTTGCTAAATCGATATCAGTCCAGACTGAATGCATGCAGTTGGAGGTAATGCTGGTGTTTTGAGCAGCGGGGTGGAGGAGGCCAGGGGAGTGAATAAATACACTCATACCGTTAGACCCAGCTGGAGAAGGAAAAGAACCAGCACTCTGGTGCTCGGGGAACTTGCTGAGATGATCGGCTTCATGGGTGTGTTATGGAGGAAACGTGGCGGGAGAGACAACTAAACGATCACATGGACTAAATATTGTCTGAAGATGATAGCGAAGTGACGGACAGAAAGAAAAAAAAACGTTAAGTTTTTGTGTAAGGCTGTTAACTCGCTACAAATGTCCAAAAGTCTTTTCCCTTTTAAATGAAAAATGTGGGGAAAAAACATTTTTCCTGTGGTGGAAATTTCATTTGAAATATTTACTGGAATAAAATTGCTGTGTTTCTGAGGCTAATTTAACATCTAGCATTTTATGCACCCTAAATAAACAATTACATCACATTTTGACTTGCCGAATTGCACAACAGTGATATTTACCTCAATAAAAAGTATAGTAAACATGAATTTCTAAATTCAATCTGTTCATCATATCAAGAGATATATGTTCATCGGAAAATTTGGACTAAACAGCTTTATTCATATGGATTTGTTTTTCAATCTCTTTATAAACTTTTTCGAAAATGGTAGTTGCGTAGGCTACAGTAATGACAATTTGATGAGTAATTGATGACAATTTATTTTTTATTTTTGGGTGAACTGAACTAATCATTTTAAAAAACTCACTGCGTAAGTAATCAAGCAAGCAAGTAAATAAAATAAATATGATCAACTCAAACATCATTTGTGGTAAACAGAAGCTCAGGCATTTTCGCTTGACGTGCAAGAACCGATGAGGTTCATTTTTGTGTTACGCAGCACGTTTGAGCTTCTCCAAGAGGTTTGTTCTTGTGCGTCAAGCGGGTTCGGTCGAGCTTCAGTTTATGTTCGCTGATCAATGTTTATATGTGAATAAAAAGCCTAAATTAATTATGTTAATGATTTAAAGCGATTGTGTCTCTTCAGTAAATTTGGACTAAACCGCTCAATTCATGTAGATTAGTTTTATGATCTCTTTATGAACTTTTTGAAGCATCAAATTGGTAGTTGCGTAGCTGTTGAGTAGCGGAGCTAATTTTGGATTTAGATTTATCGGCCAATTCATATTTTGCAGTCACGTGACTACCATGGACACCTGGCGGGCAACAAACTCGGAAAACATTTATATGGCCAGCAAAATCTTTGGTCATACATGACAACAATGGTTAAAAATGATAGCATGCACATGAATATCAACAATCTCATTTGGAAATCCAGACCTGAAGAGGACTTCTACAAAATATTGTTCTTATTCAGCCACATTTACATCATACAGGCTGTTGAATCACACACTCCAGCCAATTCCTGGCTAAAACTAAGCCAATCCTAACGGAAAAGGCCCTGGTGGTCATTACGAACGCCTCTTCAGTCCATCTAATGGACCATCTCTTTGCTCACTTCACCAAAAACACAAGAGCACATGAATATTTACCACCAAGCAAATCCATTCCATTAATCGGTTTGCAAACGCTTAAATGGCATATCTGTGGCTACTTCTGCAGCGGGGTCATAAATGAGCATTTCTGCTTATTAGCATATTAATTTATGCAGCAATTGAGTGTAGCTCATAGGCTGTGACCACCAGCTCCTTTCCTCCCCTATTGGTCAAGAAAGCAAATTTATCCAGTGTCCTTTAACAAGCAGGCTTGACGTGCTCAAAGATAGTGTAAAAGTGTCCTGATGGATTTTATAGCTGAACTTGTTTACTGATATCATTCCAATCATGATTGTTCTCACAAACCTCATTTGTGTATGTACATATTCAAACTCAGGTTTGATGTAAATCACACCAAATTCTTTTGGTTCTCACATGTTCTTAACGCTCAAAGTTTGAATATGCTAAAAGGACGAGATATGAGATTTGAGAGCTAAAAGATTTTTACAATGAAATTTCAGTCATTTCCACACACTGTATGACTTCAGATAGTAAGCAAGATATGTGAACTGCTTTTATGAACGTTTAATGTTTAGAGAGAGAGAGAGAGAGAGAGAGAGAGAGAGAGAGAGAGAGAGAGAGAGAGAGAGAGACCGCAAAAAAAGAGTCTTGAGCAGAGGACAGGCTTGTGATATCTATATCGAGTCCATTTGTGTTTGTTTTAAGGGTGTGTGCACATGATTTTCCAAGTCACTGTCTGAAATACAGGAAAATTGCATGACTCACTTTGAGACAAATGCAGCTGTTTACAAAAGCCTGACAAAAAGGTGACTGAACAGAGGTCTCGCTCGTTCTCGTTCTCTCCCACTCGCTCTCTCACCAGAGCCTGATTCAATTCCACTATTCCCAAAAAACCTGAAATTCATTTTTATAATTCGCTTAAGCAGGCTTCGCCCATTGTTTTGCACGTCCACGTTCGTGTAAACAACGGCGGTTTCCGACATGCAAACAGACGAGAAACCTAATTTATCTTGGCTTGTACGTGGGTCACTTGAGCTTCTGGAGGCCGAGCGAGTCGGTACGTAGTCTGCTGACTGTCAGGCTGTCTGAGTCTAGACATTTTTTCAGACCTGCCCTCACGTTTTGCTGAGCTAAGAACAAAGTATACAGAGTACACACACACACAGCTTTCACAGTCTTAATACCAAGGCAGCGGTATTTCGTTCCTATCCCAAAACAAACAAGGCAGTGCATTTCTTTACACTATTTAAATGTTAACAGGCAAGAGCGCAGGCTGAATAGAGCATTCTTTCACTCTGGATACCAGAAACGGCCCAGCCAGACTTTCAAAACACATTTTAATGAAATCATCCACAAGATAAATAAAAAGCTGCACTTGTTTTCTTTTCTGAGGTCAAATTCCCCTCTTCTTTCTTTTTCTTTTTTTGTAATTGGATTATATATATAGTTTAAGTACTGACCAGATCCATGAGTGCATGAAACTACTGTAAAGCGATTTCTCATTCTCTCTTCCTCTCCCCCCGATGACATTTATACAGCTAAAGCCTAAGGCTATGAGGGTTAACACTGGTCACTGTGGGTTTTAACCCAGTTATGTAATGCTATATTTTTAAGCAGTGAAACATTAACATGAAAACATTTATTAAATGACCCATGCCAATATGAATATCTAGAGGTTAGGGTCAGTAATGTTCAACTTAATCACACAAATATGTAGTGTAAAAAAAAAAACTGTACACTAAAAAGAAATGTGCTAAATACCACTAAAAGTGGTTCATTGGCTTGTAATCATATAGGGGAACCACTTTAAGTGCCATTATCTTTGTCATATGGTGCTATGTAGAACCATAAGTGTTGCCATAGAGCATGTTAACCACAACAGAGAACCACTAAAGAACCAAACTGGGCTTAACAGGTTCTTTAAATGGTAGTGGTGGTATATAGCACCATGACCACCGCAAATAACCGCTGAAGAACCTTTTTTGTAGAGTGTACTTAAGCTCCATGATATTTACTTTATCTTAAAAAAAAATGGAAACCATTTGGGAATGTCCAATTCTTAATGGCTGCTGCCAATGCCTACATATA